GTTCCTAAGCTAGGTATGATGACATAAGCTATTTGCCCTATAGAAATGCCATACACCTACATCCTCAAAATGGACCTCATGTGAGCCAGATAGGCTACATCTTCCTCAGACACTGCAGTAGCTACAATGGTTTCCCAAAGAAATGGTTTTTCTGCATTAAAGGCTGACTTATCTAAAGTCAATCATTTCAAGGTAATGCATCAAGGTTGATGAACTGTCAATGAATTACGTGCATATTTCATTTTTAACTTTCTGCCAGCTTATAAACCACTCCCTTTGGATTTTTACCAGGAGAAAATAAATTAGAAAAATATTCATTTTTCCAGAGCAGACAGATCTTGGAACTTCTCCCATTGCAAATTTCAAGGAATGTAATACTCTCCTCAACACCTGACAATCTTTTTTTCAGTGTTGAAATGCCTAGCTTTTGGCAAGCTTAGCTCCCATTACCCTTATGCACAGAGACAAGAATTTGAGCCTGATCTTAGCTCAGAGCATTTCTGTTCTGTTTTTGCTTTTCCTTTTTCACCTTATTTTTTCTTTTATTTAATAACGAAGGCAGTTCTTAAAAATGCAAGAATGTGGCAGCTTGAAGCAGATCGAAATGGGACAAATCTTCAAGCCAGCAAGGCAATGCTGACTGACATCCTAAAATGTCTGCTGCTTCAAAATGCCCCACACAAAACAGGAAATAGCGCTTTGGCTCTACTACTACAAGAAAACCACTTTGGCTTCCTGTTAACAGAAAGATATGTCTCACACAAATGAAGTAAGCCCAGGCCTTCATTGCAATTGGTCACTTTTGTACCACCAAACAAGTAAAACAACAAAAAAAGCCCAAACCTCAAACTTCAACCACAGTACATGGAGTTCCTCGCATAGAAGTATGCTTACATGGACTCCTTTGATACTTTGAGAGTTAAACAACACAAGTTTTTTATATTAAGTCTCTAATAGACATGTAAGCTTACAGGCTCACACAATAGACACAGCATGCCCATAATTTTTCCTAGTTAGAAATAATTCAAAATTCTTAAATTCTACATAGTTCTAAATCAAATACCACCTCTTTTCTTCCCCTCCCTCCTTGGCTGTCCCAAAACAGTCCTTTCTTTCAATGTGAAGGTTTCCTCCAAAAAGAATATTATTTGCAAAGGAGAAAGGTTGTAGCACATTATTTATTCCTGTTTATTCCTGTGTCAAGTGAAAAACAGTATTGAGTGAATCATCAGAACTAGATGCAGATGCAACAATTCACAGTCCCCACATCAATCCTCTCCCATCTTAGGAAAGGAAATGGGATCCCACCTCATTCTGGTAGCTCGTGAGACCTACACCACCAAAACAGATTCAATTTCCAGAAAAGCCAACAGAGACAGGCTGCAGAAACAGCTGAAATAAGATATTATTATTAGTTACTCCAAAATCTGCATAGCTGGACTCACTGCACCAATACCAAAAGGCTTTACTGACAGAGGAATAACTGTGCATGTGCACGCATCCATGCACACACACTTTCTCCTGAAAAAGTACATAAAACAAGTCCCATGAGACAGATGGTTAAAGACTTTTGGACATTCACTGGGGATGTACAGTTTACTTACACTACGTCAATAGTGCGGGCCTTCCAAATTCAGACCAACAGATACCGTTTACACCAAGTACCACTGAGCGGAGCACAAAGTTGCCCAAGTTTCTCCTGCCGAGGTGGCTTCGCGCTGCATCCACTAATTGCAGCTGCCAGCTTGTGCTTCTTTCTCCAATCGTGGCTTTCACGTTGCTGCGCAGCCTCTTGTGGTGAACCCAGCACCAGGTGAAAACTCTCACGTTAGTTAGCAATGCCGGACAATGAATCCTGCTTTGCTGCAATTTTCACTTCACGTTTCCCACGCTTTCCATTTGTTTCAGGTCTAAATAGTAGCTGAAGAGAATGGAGATACTCCCAGCACTGCACTTGCATAAACCCCATACATTTGTTTTCTTGAACACACAGAAAATTGTTAAAACAATAACTGCATTAAAGTAACCACATTCAACAACTTTCTGTTCTTTTCTAAGAGCGTGCTACAGGCCATCCTCAGCAGGTTTCCGAAACCTCAATAGTTCGCCAATAAGTGTCTACTGACCATCTGAGAGAGAGTTATTTAAAACCTATTTTAGGCTACATAATCTGTCAAAACCAGTAGTAGAGTTTGAGCAGCCTGAGGACATTTGTCTGTTTCTATATTTGGGAAACCTGTTTTGTATATGCTTATACAAGCACAGTGTGAAAAGAGCCAACACAGCATGTGCAGGCCACATAGTGCTTTCCTTTGTATAGTGCAAATCTACTTCAGCAAACGGAGCTGACTAGGACTTTGCTCAGAACTGCAAGGCACTGACTTGTCTGGCCCAGTTCAACAGGCCATTTAAGCATGTGCTTGTTTTAAGATCTAAATGAAGATGTTTTTGAAGATAAATGGTGTTTACACACTTTGTTTCATGAGGAACTGACACTTGTGAGAGAAAATATACATGTAATTTGACCTCCATTATTTATCAATTGTTTAGAGCCAAGTAGTTAAAATTAAGATGGGCCAAGCAGGTTAATCCCTACACTTCTAATTTTCAGTGTGCTCTTGGTGGTTAATTGATATCATGTCAAATTCAGGGGCTATCTCTCTCCTACCTACGCCTCTGCTTTGAAGAATTCAATTAGGAGCAGGACATTCACAGATGTCCACTGTCCAGAGGGTCTGGGAATGGTGAAAGATTAAAAATACCCCAAACTTAAAATGGGCTCAATTTTTGAGACGCAATTACTCTAAACCAAATTGCACCAGGTATTGAGCTTGCTTAATTTCTATACACTTCGAGTTAGAATTAGTGAAGTGATGAAACCATTGCTCATATGACGATTTCCTGAAAACAATTGCTTCTTAACCAACTTGGGGTTTGTGTCTGCTTCCCCATTTAGTCACTGTCACCCACTTCCAGGTCTCAGTTAACATTTGTTCCCCACCAGCAGACTAGCCCCAATTATTAACTCCTGACCCAAATCAGTCCTTACCCTCACACTCCTAAACCCTTTTACACCTGAGACAGTGATGCTATCCCAAGCATAGCCCTGCTTCTGCATTCAACCAGACCTCATTTTCCCCGACCCCCTCCCATTAAAGCCTGTATCAAAGAAGCCTACATCCTCCCTTCTGTTTCCCCTTTCTTATAGCTTACCATCTGCTCCTCAGTTCTCACACTCAATACAGCCTTAACTACCATTTTTTGATGCATTGAGACATTATTCTATATCTCTATTTTAAAAGGGAAGCTGCTGAGTGTTAAAAATGCAATATCAGCAGTCAGACTTATCGCTACTCAGGTGGAAAAGATTTCACATGTTCCCACTAACACTATTAACTTTTGTTTTCTCAGTCAAGCCATGATAAAACATATAATGTATAAAGACAAGTGAATATGGCTGCATCTGTATAGTGTATTTTGCTTTAAAAGATAAACTATGTTGAAAAACTAATGACAAAGAATATCTTTACAAAATAGTCAACAGAGGTGCCAATTGCCACAGTTCCTGTAGCAGCATTAATTTGAGAACGGTGAGCTAATTGTTGCTTTTCAAAATTCAGCACTCTGCAAAGTTCCTCATACTTGCACACACGCAGGCAATGGGAAGGCAAAAACCCCAAACCTTGTACTGAGGACAATGAAGCCAAAAAGCTATGATCCTGCAGCAGAGCCTCTTAAGATACTTATTTTTGTTTGCCTAAAGGGAAATCCTGAAAATTTCTAGAAAACTTATTTTGCTGCCCTAAGTTGTACAGCTTTTCTTCATCTAACACTCAAAGCTAGAAAGACAGAAGAAAAAGTTGCAGCAGATGTCCCAGCGTAGTCTCAGCTGTAGAGCCACTACTGTGATTCACAATGGAACAAAAACCAAAGACGCATTTCAAGTGAACCTGTAAACACACTCATCTGGGTGGGCCTGGTCCATGTGTGCCTATCTACATTAGGAAATTCAGCATATATAAATATATAAATAAAACATATATACAGTACATAGTCACATTCATATAAGACGTAAAATGACATATATTTACAAAAATATTTTCAGCTATGTTTCAACACTTTCAGGTCCACATCAGGAATTTAATTATTTAGCTTCTACTTTGTGAACTTGATCACCTTCCTAAGTAGTAATCCGGGATGAACTTGTACCTTATATATTCACAACTGTCAAAAATAAGAAAGAAGAAAATAATCTTCCAAGGAATTCTGCCAAGTCCATAAGGTAAGTTGAAACTTGTTGAAGCATTAGCTGCCTCACTGAAGAGTAAATTACATGTTAGCAAACATTGAGAGACCTTCTCTTCTTCATGTAGAAAGACAGTACCTTGGTCTGGTTCATAAATAAATTTGAAACTCATAAAACATCAGGCAGAGCACAAACTGGGTGCCTGACAGCTGTCTGTAGTATAAACTCATGCATAACTACTATTCTATTTGTCTCAGTTTAAATTGGTAGAGTGGTGAAACTGAATGAATGTAGAGATGAAAATGCATACATCAGGTTACCTTACAGTCTAAACAGGGAGAAAGTAGACTACATCCTGTTGGCATTGGTTTAGCTTCCTTTAACAGTAAGTTACATGGTTAAAATGACCCCAAGGATCTCACACGTATACAGTACCTACTATACACTTCTGTGATTTCCAGGAGTTGGATATATTTAATTTACTACTCCAAAGATGGAAAAACATTTCTTCGCTGCTTCATAAAATAGTCTTTTTAGGTACGCAGCCCAGGTTCAGGCATGCTTTTTTAACTTGGGGGATTCGCCTTCTTGACGTGAAATGAGTTTTGCAAGAGGAATTAAAGCTTTGCAGAAGGGGTTGTTTTCCTTTCGAAGAACACTTGGAAAAAACAAACCTCAAAATGCAGCAATTTAAAGTGCCTGTACATAAAGACCCGTGGGGAAAAATCTTGCCATGAACCATTGAACCATGGCCTCAGATAGCACTTTCAGTGATAGTCTGTGGAGTCACCTCTTGCTCCTTGCTATTCTCTGTGGACACGTCCTGGACCTCCTGCTGCTGATAAATATCTTGGACCAGCATGATGTTTGTGTTCCTCCACTCTCTGTACTTCATTGCTGTCAACTTTGGGTCCTCTAGTAACTGGTTAATTGTGGCCAGGTCATGTTCCTTACACTAGGAAGAGAACAAGTGGTTATTTCCCACAGAAACTGTCAAGCTCATTGTCCATAACAAAAACATTCTGGAAACATTAGAGAACCATGTAGCAAGGAGATGGCCAATTACCCATCCTCCTGGCAACTTGTTCCCATTTTTAGAACACAGATCATCAAAATTAAGTCCACAGCAGAAATTCGTCCCAGCAGAAATTCGTCCCAGTTGAAGGTAAGATTATGATCTCATGTATATTTTTTATTTTATAGGATTCTTAGCAAAACTTCATGATAGAGGATTCATGTGAAAAGTAGACATTGTTATGCTGTCTCACAAGTTAGTACTTGCATGAAACTAGTCACAACAGCATTTATTTCTGTAATTCACACCAGTTCCAACTTTCGCAAAAAAATACTTACTCCCTGGCCACATTATAAATGTCTCTTTTCTGGGAGATAGACAGAAAATAATTTTATATATAATCCGTGCACTGGCAGTGCTAGAGCACATGTGGCTGCTAATACATCTACCGCCAGCCACTACTAATAAATCTGGTCTCCACTTTTAGATGAGAGCAGCTCAGACCATACAGTGCAGGTGCCCTGGTTCAATTGTAAGACGTTAACAGTCACTGATAATAGGGACACTGAGACCCTTTATGTCACAGAATCACAGCATGGTTGAGGTTGGAAGGGACCTCTGGAGGTCATCTGGTCCAACCTCCTTCCTCAAGCAGAGCCACCTAGAGCAGGCTGCCTAGGATCATGTCCAGATGGGTTTTGCATATCTCCAGGCCCATTGCCTCTGGTTCTGCCACTGTGCACCACTGAAAAGAGCCTGGCTCTGTCTTCTCTACACCCTCCTTTCAGATATTTATATTTATTGATATCCTCACATTTTCTGACACAAACAACCACTTTGCTTTTCCAGCTCTTATTGCCTATCCATGCAGTGGACCACAGGATAGAGAAGCCCTCGTCAGCAGCTACAATTTCTTAATGGAGGCACCATGCTGCACTAACAAACCTTTATTGCTTTTGCCTGGCTCCTTTCCCCCCCAGTCTGCGTGTGAAAGCAATGGAGTAGTTCTAACCATCTTCTCCTGCTGCCACTGGTTTCATTATGCCTGAGGACACTCTGTGCTAGTGGCTGCCTTGAAAACACCTTGAAAATACTCTCACACATTCATGACACTTCCTGATAGTGTCAATGAGCTGTTTACACATCCGTATCCCATTACTACTCAATGAACTATCAACTACTGTAATCCCTGTGATGCCTGAGCCGCTTTTTAAATGCAAAAGCTTGTTCAACTGTTGGTTTACACAGATCCTACCCTCAAGACCTAGTTCCAGCCTTTGTAAGAAGGCTTCTGGCATTAATGCAGACATATGTGCAGCTAGCCTAAGAGAAGAAGAGGAGAAGGGAGAGAAAAGTATTTCCAGTAGACAAACTTGGGGGCTAAAAGCCATGCCGTGGAATTTTTCCTGTACCACTGAATCTATTTCCCACATTCATTAAGCCTGTGATGCATTTGCACACAGCTTCCCTCTCTTCCAAACTATCCAAAGCATGTTTTGTTAATGATATATTATGGCAGCAACATTAATCTGTTGTTAAAGATGTGGAGTCAAAAGCCCAAAATTAAAATTGCACTGAATCTTACATAAGTCACTTCCCAAAACTAATAAGAGTTTTAATCAAAGCAGAGTAAATATGGATCAGACACAAAACTTTCCTAATTTTTAAATTTCCAATAGATAATTTCCAATTATCTCATATCTCATGTTATACGTTGAGATAATTGACTTTAAAAGCACATAATCCCACTGATGCAAAGAATATGGCACTTTCCCACTGCAGGCATTTGCCTTTCAGACAGGCTAACTTAAACACTGCTGTGTATAGAACTCTGTTTGTGTCTGTGAGAAAATGTCTGTGCTATATTTGTCTTGTCAATACTCCAATTTCTTACTTTGAAGAAAGCAAAAAAAAGTTCAACACACTTTATACATTGTGAACACTCCAAAAATGATTTTTCCATATTACATGCAAGTGTTAGACTAGCCTAGGGTTATAAACTCTGCTAATCACAATTTATACAATACTCCCACGCTAAATCAATGCAAAGCTGCCCTCCTTGCTCTCGTCTGGCAGTAAGGCTTCCATTCAGCTCCATACTAATGAAATTGATTATCCCACAAGATACAACTGCATTTTGTATTAACTGGTTCTTAGATTTATTAGGGAGGCTCCTATCAGGGAAAACTTTGCAGTATGTTTCTATATTTAGCTTCCTGTCCCATAAAATAGGCATACTTTTTAAACTAACTTTCTGTTATATGGTGGGCTCACTTTATTGCTGATGCAGATTAATACTGCTATAGTCAGTACCATGTCACTGAAGACTCTTTGATACTGAGGAGAGACTTCACCAGGTTTCATATGGAGCCTGAGAGAACGCCTATATTCCCACTCGTCTTTTCAACTGTATCTTCAGGAATTTTAACACAGGCCAGGGTGCCAAAGCCAAGCCTCCCATTGCAGATAACAATAAAATCAATGATTGTGCTGATAGGAGAAGTTTTTACATGCATTTCTCCATCTTACAATGCCTGAAGTCAAATAAACCCATTTGAAACAAGATACTCAATTCCTGCTTCTAATGCATACAAAAAGAAACAAGTGAAGCCCCAGGTTTGCATTTATTCTTTCTTCTCCTTACAATTTCAATGCTATGGTTAAGCTTTCCATTCCCCTCAGCACCATTCAGAAGCAGGCTTTGAAATCCCAAGACACTAGATGCTGGCGAGTAAACAGCCTCATAAATCCCCATATTCCAGACAGATTTACTGGCCCTTTCATGGAACGTCCCCTGAACCCCTCCACCCCTCCAGTTCATGATACATTTCCAACATAAAAGCAGGATGCTTATGTTATTAAAAATATTTTAGTTACAGGAGGTCTTTACAATAGCTTTGGCACATCCTGTACATTCTCCAATAATCACATAAGGAAAACTTTTTTTGGCTCAGGCTCATTTTCATGTCCTTTATCATCAACGTACTTTGTCTGCTCTTCCTTTTTTAAGGTTGCCTTGTTTAGTGCATTCAGCTGAGCTTGCAAGTTTTCCAACTAACTAAGAGAAGCTTTATTACATTTTCCAAATGGGCTGGAACTTCTGCAAGAAGAGTCCCTTATGAACTATTGCCTCTGCTTCTAGTTCAAAATGAACAACAAAAGACAGATCAGTATTTAGAATGAAGTAGAAAACAATTTTAAAAACTTAACCAAATTCTCTGGGGCTTCAAGTAAATATGTAATTAGAGTTTGGCTGAAGTATAGTCTTGCCTCTTTTTTCAGCCAAACTGTTTCTTTCTCTCAGGCTTTTCCTTGGCTAGCTGTGCAACCTCACCTTTAATGTGCTGTTCAGCATTCGAATTTTGTGGAGTTTCTCATTAATGGAGGGGTTTTTGCTGCGTTTGATAAATGACTTCCTAAGCTCCTTCTTTGTTGACAGCCGACGATCACCAATGGGAGACAGGCTTGCTTGTTCTAATGATTTGTAAAGTCGCTCCATCTCATCATCATCACATTTTTCCTGATCTGCAAAGAAAAGAGTAAATTGGGTATGAGAATGTGAATGTGGCAGCAGGTAGCAGGAAT